AGCTAGCTGCTGAGCCGTCAAACACAACACGAAGCTTTGTTGTTGTAGTGTCGCTTTTGAATACGCAGTGATGAGGTAAATAATAAACCTTTGTATTTGTGATTGGGTGCTCAACAAAAGACATGTGCTTTAGTTGTGCATACTCTTTAATGAATGCTGAATACTGAGCCTTCACTACAATATTACGCTGAAGTCGGCGTTCAAGAGATAGAAACCGTCTCAGTGCTTGCTCATATGAATCCCCGAGTAAATCGAGGCTATGCTTTAGTGGTAAACGAACACAGTACTCTCCAGTATCTAAGCGATGATAATTGTTTTTAAAATGCTCTTCACACTCCATCTCTTCCTTTATTGTTTTTGCGATAGGTTCGAAGCAGTTGTCTACTTCCCAGAATGAGCGAACTATTTGGCTCAATGATTGTTGTTGTTCTTCGCTACCGATTAACGCAGCTGCTAGCGATGACGAAATTGATGATTTCTGCTGGCCACCCGAAACAACCCAACCCAAACGGGTTTTTTGCAAAACGTATGGTATATTTTTTAACCGAGTTTGTCCAACACATAATAGGTCAAAGAATATCCCAGCCCCAAGCAACATATCAACACGCTGAGATTTAAAAAACAATGAATCAGCAAGCTTTATATTTGCAGGTAGCTTCCAGTCGGATGTACCAAAGGAATAATTAGGTTGACTAATGGTGGGAGTAACCGCAACTGTTATACTCGTTGAGTAGTCATTATGCATGGACTTAAATGTTATGTTAGCGCAGTGGCTAATTTTAAGGTCTGATTCGCCAATACCTGAGACGGAGTACGAAAATTTCAAATCTACTTGGTTAGCAAACCTGGATGTGACGAAATTTAACTGCGAAGCAGAATCCAATACAGCGCGACACGGAATGAAGGAACCAGTTCTATTTTTCACCAAGATGACTGCAGTTGCGATAAGTACGTTTTCGGTTAGAGAAGGGTCGGGCGAAATATTGTAAGACTTTGACACAAGTGTTGTAGCTTGTGCAGCTGACTCAGGTTTCTCATCGGGCGTGCAATCAGTGGTTGACTGTTGAGCCGGAATGAAATGCAAGAGAGTATGGTGCTGGGATAGCCAGCGACGACAATTGGAAGATTTACATTGCTGAGCTTGATGCCCGTG